CTGGGGAAAATGTAGCAGATGCAAGCCAGCTAAGCTACTGGTAACGAATGGGCATCGTTCCGATAAACTACTAGCCGGCTGCCATGTAGCAAAAAAATTACTATACAAAATTAGATAAGGCTATAGAGTGAGATCGTGCTTGGAGGGGAGGCTAAGAGAGACGGGGGAGGCAGTTGTCATTGTATCCGAGACACGAACGGAACCATAGCGAATTGGAGATCCGCCTCTTCGGATCATCCAATGGTTCGCATTTAAGTCGCTGCAATAATATAGGATAACACTATCTCCCCTGCTAAGACAATCGTGTTGGAACAGTGAGAATCCCGGAATCGCGAGCTCGGCATCCGTTACCTGTCAGGGCAACCAAGTCTCGGTTATGTTGATGAGATCCCAAGTGTTTGTTGCCTGATGCAGCCGAAGCTCGGCGATTTAGCTGAGGAGGCCTTGGGCATTTGTGCACATGACGGAAGTTGTTTCGGTTCTCAGAAGCGATCCGAAAGACGTGTGACTAGGCCGAAAAATTGTGCCGATCTCTATGTGATCGATCGCTGGGCATTTTTCGTGGTATTATCGGTGTGTCTTTAGGAGTTGGATTCGGTGGCATTATAATTAATCCATCTGGCAACTCAGTTTGCATCATGCATGCAGGATGGTCACAGCACTGCATAGGAATATTCTCACCTCTTTCTGCCATGTTATCGGTGTGAATTTCGAATGGGATCTCAGTTCGTTTGCCTGATGAGGTGGCAATTTAAGTCAGCCGGCAGTTTCGCCCCCGTTTTGAACTGGGGCTCTGTTGGCAGTTTGTTCCGAAGCGGCTGCCATCCTTCCGGTAGCCTAAGCGCCCTTTGCCTAGGTTGTAGCACAAGCTTAATTCTCCTTGAACCGCACCCTCTGTAGCTTGCTGATCTTGGTAGTCATGAGCGTGTAGTAGCTACAACATCATCCATGTGCAGGAGCTCACGGATATTGCGCCACTGCTCCTGGTCTTGAGCTTGTGCTTCTCATTCATCGTGCTCATGAGACTGGAAGCCGCCACGGACGAAAAGGGTTTCGGCTGCGGGATATAGGCTGAACTCTTCTTAGCTCTGCTTCGCTCGATTGCGCTGGCCTCATGAAACGTCTGGAAAGACGCGGACCAAACAAGATCTGTGCTGGAGACGAGCTGTTGTAAGCAACACTGCTTCCACCACATGGAGACAGCTTAAAACAAACCGAAATAGCCTGGCATCAGCAGTATGCCGGTACGCAGGACGGACGCTTCACTGCCACACAACCACCACCGGTCGCAAGTGGGCTAAGGATGCTGCGTGCGTCGCTCTGCTTCTACGCAAGCTCGAAGCCGCGCCGGCAGGTTCCACGACAAGCTCGCTACCTTTAGCCTACGGGCCTGGCTTCATTATAACTCTTAAAATTCGGGTGGCGGGTGATCTCACTTAAGTCGGAGGGCTTAATCGGAATACTGAGCATGTTGCTTATCGTGTCCCGTTGGCTCAAGTCAGCCAACTGATTCTCTTTCAAGGAATTCGATGTTGACTCAGCAACGTTGCTACATTTTAGAGATAGGGCATTCTGTGGTTTCTGAGTGTCTTTCATGGGAATATGGGAAATGGTTTGGCGACTAGACCATTTGCTACACATCAAGGTAGCGTTGCCTTGTTAGTTTCGGATATGGTAGCAGAGCCGGAAACTGCTGCTTTGGATTGCTCTTGGATACAATTACTGCCCTGCTGCCACTGATATTGGCTTGTTTCCTGGGTTTCGACAAAGCGTAGTCGGAGAATATGGGTTTGAAAAAAATCGGTGCAAACGGGCAAGAGATGCAGAGTTTGGGAACGCTTGGGCGATTTGGGGTAGTGGCGGTGTTTGCAGGAGTCACTATGTAACATCCGGCGTTGTGGAGTTGGGTCGCAGTGGAATTCGCTGGAGAGGCCTGTGTCAGACATTCTCCTATGCTTGTTCCTATTGAAGCTATTTTGATGCCCAAAATTTGCTCAACCACTTCTGTCAGCCTTTCATGCTTCTGGGAGCGTGCAATTGCGGTCTTAACTAATCTGACACTATTACACTTCGCTCAGAACCAAAATGAGTCCGGCCTGTTGCAGATCAGCGTACACTTGCTTGGTTTGATGCACCCGCATTTAGCCTGGAAATTGGTCGAGCACTTTGAACCTGAAACCTGTATTTCGAGCATCTTATTGCACGTTTCACATGCGGCTGTAGGTACCGCGGAGCGTCCACTCACGCCCATCATATCACGTGAACGTGTTGGCGGTTGGTCCAACTCCGGACCCCAGATCAATTGTCCTGTCGAGAAGCTCCGTTTGCTGCGACAGGTGGATGTCTCGCTACCACTTTCTCTCGCATTCGCGCTGTCGTCTCGCGTTTGTGCACACACCCATCCGAAGACGCGGCGCGTATTGATTGGCTCGCGTTATGCGACGATGCAAGCAGAACGCTGTCAAGCGTCCCTGAATCAGGTCAGGTCAGGTCAGTCTCCAGAGTTGAAATAGGCCTTCGTCTAACGAGGCTCCCGTTTCATGTGGGGGTAAGCACACATGTCTCGGACGCGATGATTAGTGGGTGAGTGACGCAACAAAATAACATTGTGATGCTACAGCCTGCAGGGTTGATTGCAGGGTTGTTTGAGAGCCCACAGCTTATTCTTCCGAATGATTCTAAAAGTATTCCCGAACAGCTCAGGAGTGGTGTAATTACACGCGTTGATCACCAAAAGTGTGTCAAAACTGCGAACTGGAGCAACAGTATGATCCACACAACTTAGTTCCAAGAGGTGGGAAACACTGAGTAGCGCTGGTGGAACTGGTTCCAAAGAGCGCGGGCACAAGCATGGGTGAGGTGAATCGGTCTTAGCACCTAGGGTGAAGCGAGAGCCGAAATAGAGTGTAACCATACGTCGTGATGCGTAAGCATATGATCCTGTGTTTGGCGGATTCGAACTTCGAAATTGCTTTCCAGGCGTGCACATGTTGGTCAAGAGTGATAACTCAGAGGTGCAAGACGCAATCAGTGGAGGGTGCATTGAGACAATCAGGTGAAATCCCGAACCTTTACCTCACAGTGGCCTATGCCAGACTCCGCACTGCATTTTGAGAATCTGACTAACAAAATGCAAGTAAATGGTCAATGTACAGACCCTTCGTATGCAGGTTCCTGCTTACAGGAAAGATAGTTAACTATGACGAGTTCAGTGGTTACTTTTGCAGGCTTTTCTATGTGTTTGACTGAAAGCCTCTGCTCCATCTTCGGTTTATATTGATCGCTCTATTTAAAATCCCTAACCAAAGTATTACACAGTTGGACTTACATAGCCAGGGAAAATGCTAGCATCTTATACAGACGAAGGGTTTACCACTGTTCCAGATATAGCAATTGAGTCACGCTCATACCCTTGTCGTGATGCATTCTTTGGATTACCGTACTTTCCAAATTTCTCGATTGGTACAGATACTGCCCACCTGCTCGTTGTTTGTTTCTAAAGGCCAACCGTGTCATCTGCGAAGTTTGTAACTTGCATGGCAGTGGAGAATCAGTCACACTACAAAGTGGCAATATGAAACGGTTCAAATAAGATTTTTTCGTCTATCGCATGATTGTAAGCATCAGAAAAAGCATCGCTGATGACACATGTTATTTTAGGTAGCAGAATAATTGGCTCCTTATTTCGAAGTGTCCGACATGTCCCAACTACTAGTAGCAGATCAGGCAGAAGAATGCAAGCAGTACACACTGTTAGTCCGCCCCATAACTTGTACATTTCGAGCTGACGACAAGCGGACAAAGGAACGTCTGCGATTCACTTCAGGAGTACACCATATTAGCAGGTTGGCCTCCAGGTAGCATATGATCCAAGGTAAACATGTAGTAGTTGGCGTAGCCTCCAAAGTTAAGTCATTTTGTCATATGGATAACCCAGCAGCGGTAACTTTGACGACATGACTGCCTGCTGATGGGCACAACTGAATGGCGTGTACTACAAATCCGTGATTTGCCATAGGTTCGCTAACTTTTAACGTACCCCGAAAAAGAGAAGAAAATGACAGTACAAGGATAACCAACTCATCTACTCGACTACATTTGAGACCTGTCCACCGAGGCGTTAAGGCGACGTAACAGGGGATACCCATGAAGGTTGTGGAGCACTTCAGTTGAACTCTTTTTTGCAATGACAACTCAAGTAATGCCCATTAACCAAGTTCGCCGTTTTTGAAGGTCTGCGCAGGGAGGGGGTATGGTTCACTTTCGTCATTTCCACGGTCGACAATGTCAACAGCATTTTTCGCCAAAATTTGGTTTCAGGCAAATTCGTATTTATCCAGACTCCAATAAGATGATCCCTTATGCACACGGTAGCTTATGCAACATTGGCAATCAGCTAGGAGCAGGCAGTGGTTTTTGAGGTACTGTGTATCCTACCTGCAGTGTTCTCATAGAAATGTGTAATGCATGACGGATGCCAGCAGCTTCACTCACCCAAGTGTGGGTACTCACAAATGTAAGGCAGCTAACAAATGATCCCAATGTACCACTGCCTGTGATGCGACTCATGCAGACTGTCAAATGGTTAGCATGTGTTTGTGCAGTGGACTGAAGTGTGCTGTGAATTCCATGCGTTTGAATCAGCACTGAAGCACCGAAGCTGTCGTGGTGTGTTGCACGTAGTGAGGGCTGTCTCCATTGGTAAGCCTTTGTGACAATTAACGCGTTTCCCTGCTTTATGAACAGAATGCTGTCTAAGCGGCGGGTGATAAAATAAGACCGTCCGGATGATCAAGGGTTCATCCATGCCTAACCCATGCACACTGCAGCTGCAGGTACACTAAATACTGGAAGTCATTTGGCGATGGTGAAGTGATCATTACATTAAGCGTTGTATCCTTACCAAGTATAATGAAGTTGCACCAGTTGTGAAACTTAACTTGTGCGCACGTAGACAATACAGATTCTGACCATTTCCACCTTCACTTTCGTTTCATTAGTGCAAAGGCAAATGGCGCACCTTAAAGGAGGCCTTCAAAAAGTTGGACTCCAGACATCAAGGGATTTTGACCCTGGAACAAATCGACGATATTCTGAAGAAGCAGGATATTCAACTCAGTGAAGGAGACCTGTATCACCTATACAGTAGCTTCGACTCAAAAATGCATGGGTATATAGACTTCAACGAGTTCAAACGGACCTTGCTGAAGACCTATAAACCGGTGGTTTAACGAATCGTTGACGTGATACTGGATTATAACACCGCTCCGGCTGATATCGCCTACTCACCAGCAGCCCATGCCACTAATTCGAAACAATTTGGCATCTTTATTCATTTGATCAAACTTGTCCGTTTGCTCGCTCAAGAAGCGATATGAACCTCCTGCACACCGCTTAAAATTAGGGAGAATAAAATAAACGAATGCTGCTCATCAAACGTAGTAACTAACATCCACAAAGAACATGCTTTCTTATCAAACGCACGACGAAGATCAGGGCGTCTGCTTGTAACGGCTGTGTGGCTGAATGATACTTCACTGCCACTTCCCATAAACAGCCGTTCACCAGAGTTGCTTCGCATCATAAAATAAAGACATTGTTAATTGTTCAGAGTTCGAGAGAAGATAGACAAGCATGTTACATAGGTCTAGGCGCCGATTTGTTCGCCTGTCTGGGTGCTTGGATTGTAGGCGTTTTGTCATCATTTTCAGTGCTCACTAATAGCAGTTGTTGTTGTACTGGTAGCGGTAGTAGTAGTAGTAGTAGTAGTAGTAGTAGTAGTAGTAGTAGTAGCAGTAATAGTGGTAGTAGCCGTCAAAGTCAAAGTAGGCCTTATGCACCCTGTTAAGTGCATATTCTACATGTTACACTATCACTGCGGATGGAAAATCATATGAAATTACTGTTAAAGAAAAAATAAAACGTCTAAAAATGTCTACACAGATAACGGGCAAATAATTTCGCATCATACGCATAGTTGTGGTTGCGCCAGCAAGCAAGCGGGATAGGTACGGTAGAACAGAATTGCGGCCTGGCGCGTACTCTTGAGTCCCTCGCCATCGATGTTTGTTGCCTTTCCGAGTGATTGCAGGATCTCAACACCGTAGTTAAGTTGTTGTCCCCGGCTGTTCTTGAAACCATATATTACCTACGCCTGTCTGATGACATGGAGACAGCAGGAACCGGCTCAGCTGGTGTCGGTATCGCTTTGAGTGACAAAGCGGAGGATGCACTACTCCAATGGTTTCCAATCGACGGCCGGCTGTGTGCGATTCGGCTTCAAGACTCACGTAGAATCAACAGACATCGTGAAGAGAGGCGCAATTTGTTTGTCGTTTCTGCCTATGCTCCAAATGGCTGCAGCTGTCCATCGGTTCAGGATGACTTTATCGTGGACACCACAAATTTTTGAACAAGGCCGAAAAGTCAGATATCATCGTCCTTGCCGGAGACCTCAATGTACGTGTAGGTCGCCTGCTTCCTTACGAACGTCATCTTGGTGGCAGTCACGCGGTTAATGAGAGCCGTTCTAACAATGATGATAAACTTGTTACCTTATGGGAAGACCACCGTCTGTTTCTCTCAAGTACAAACTTTAGGCATACAAGAAGACATGGTGCCACCTGGAGTCCTCCTTCACCGGATGCAAGCGTGATCACAAATAGATCACATTGTAATCAGTGTTAGATGGCAAGGTGGTGAACCTTCGAAGAAGACGTGGGATGCTTGTCTGTTGGCAGTTGTCTACAGGCCACCGAACTCCACCGCAGACCGAGATGACATTCTGTTAAACGCGCTTCATTATGCAGTTTCTCAAAAGTACTCACATTGTCGAATCATGGGCGATTTTAATGTACCCTCAATTGTCTCAGCGACTTCTAGTGGTCCTTACTTCAAATCAAAGATTCTCGAGTTTATGGATACAGCAGCTCTGTACAACCACGTGCACCGACCAACTAGACACCGCGGTTCAAATAAGCCATCGCTTCTAGATTTAATCCTAACCAACGAAGAGTTGATGATTGAGACAATTTCATACTATCCACCATTAGGCAACAGTGACCACTCAGTGTTGAATTTTGCCTAAGTGTGTTACGCCAATACTACTGAAATCAGACATGAAAACCGACGAACTATAACCAACTATTCCGTGCTTCACAGCCTAGCGACAACCGTCAACTGGGACCTCAATCTACAGAGCACGGCAGACGACGCGTGGAACGAACTAAAAGACAAAATTAGCTGTGTCACGCAAGTAGCCTCAAAAGTCATACCATTACGAGTGCCGCGCCGGACCAACACCTGGATCCGAAGCAGAACGCGTAAATGGATTAGCACCAGAGACGAGATCTGGAGACAATACGCGCTGAACAATTGCGACGCCACCTGGGAGAATTACAAAATAGTGAGGAACTGTTGCACATCACTGATTAGAGCCGATAAGTACGAATGGCAAAAAACATGGTACTTAAATTCACGAACAATACAAAACTGCTGTACAGGTACGTGAACAGCAGAAGGAAAGTTAAAACAGGAATACCACCACTCAAGACAGATGGTGGCCTAACGACTACTGCTGTGGATGCTGCGAACGCATTACTTCTGCAGTTTGGTACAGTGACTGCAAACGCCATAGAACCTTTGCCAAACCAGCATTCACCCAACGTGGTCGGCATATCAACTGTCACTTTTACCTCAGCAGCTGTCGCTAGCAAATTACGGTCTCTAAGAGAAAATAGCGCTCCGGGAGTCGACAAGATCAGACCCAAAGTTCTTAAAACTCTTGCTCCCACCATAGCAGCACACCTCGCAAGCTTTTTCCGAAGTCTACTCAAGTCCCAAACACTTCCGTCTGAGTGGAAAAGCGGGATAGTCACTCCGATATACAAAGGAGGTAAGCGATCGGATCCTGCTAACTACCGACCCATGAATCACCTCCCTGTTTTATCAAAAGTAAGGGCATCGTTAGTTGCAGATGAAATTACACGATATGTTGAGAGTCTGAAGCTAATTTCTCACCTCCAACACGGCTTTAGGCGCAAACGATCTTGCCTTACAAATCTGCTTCTTGTTCGGGATTCATGGACCAAAGCGCTTGATGAAGGATCTCCCTTGATGTGATTTACCTAGACTTTTCGAAGGCATTCGACAGAGTCAATCACCTAGCTCTGCTTCATAAGCTTCGTGCCTACGGTATTCATGGTTCCCTACTCACCTGGCTAGCAGCATATTTGCATGACAGAACGATCAAGGTCAGAGTCGCCGATGCCCTCTCGGAAACCCTCTGCATCTTCAGCGGTGTTCCTCAAGGATCCGTCTTTGGTCCCCTCCTTTTTCTGGTCTACATTAACGACCTCCCGGATAATATTCAATCCTCGATGCAAATTTTTGCAGATGACGCAAAAATCTGGAGAGTTATTCGCTCAACATCAGACTGTGCCCTCCTCCAGAATGATTTGGATAGAATCAACAAATGGGCAGATATAAATCACCTCCTCCTGAATCCTGCCAAGTGTCACCTACTGTCATTGCGCAGCAATCTTGCCAACACGTACCTCTTGGGGCAGTATGTTTTACGGCGTGTGAAAATAAAACAAAAAAGACAAACAAGATGCAAAAACAAAAATATTTTGTAACCTTCCTCCTTTTCTTCTTTTTGGTCTTAGTAATGATAACTTCCATTTCATGGTTTTCGCTGGCAGTTCGGGCTTAGGTCAAGACTGAAGTGTCGTTAGCACCGATAACTTGTAAGCACACGAGCATTTGGAACAAATACGGCCAACATGGTGGATCATTTCATTCGTTACAGAACACTCACGTTCCAATGGCTCATTAGATAAATATAATTACACAGTTCAATGCTTTCCGGACACGTCGATATAGATAAAGGAGGCTAGGTAGAACGTAATATGGAATTGTAGATCCTTAAACTTGAGTAGCCAAGCGATTCCTCCATCTAGCTGGAGGGACTAGGCTGATACATTAGGGGCCGCTTGTATTGTGAATTTGTCTGACGAATTGCCATGTTTCGCCCGTGTTGAATGAGAAGTGTTCATGTTATTGTTCGGTGAATCTGGTTGCCCTGGTGTACCGCCTCCCTAAATCTACACCCGAAACCGACTGCCACTTTGCGGATGCTTAAAGACGCATCCTGAAAGGAAGATGCACTCACATTCTTATCATGGATGATTTCAACGTACATTGTTTAGAAACCCCCGTCACGAGCGGAGAACAATTCAAAGCCGATCTACAGGAGCTCGTAACCACTGTTCCGCTTTACAATCACATCACTTTGTCCACTCGGTTCAGAACATGTAACAGGTCATCTGTGCTGGATCATGTGCTTACCAACGAAGAGCATACGATTGAGGTGTTCTGTAAGCTGCCCGTTGGGTCGCAGTTATCACGCAGTCATCAGTTTCAACTTCGTCTACTACGTGGAATATCGGAATGCGGACTGTGAGACTGTGCGAACCATCACAAGCTACGATCGATAAGCCCGGCTGGTCTGCACTACAAGCTGGTCGTTTCTTGCCTAAGAGCGCCCGGCAATCGCCTGGCTCCAGTTCGTCAACAAATTCAGTCACCTGATTGCAGGTGCTTCGGAGATAAGAGTTTGCAATGAGTCTACATCAGTTTCTTTCCTTAGGTGCAGAACTTGAAAATGGATGGCAGTGAGCAACGAAGAATGGCGGGTATACGGAGAAGCGCCAACACCAGAAACTTGGGGAAATTATCTAGCCCAACGTAATCATCGTACTCAACTGCTCAGAGATGGCAAAGCCGCATATAAGCAGAACATCACAAAAACCTAGTGTTAACCACAAACTGGTGTAGAAGCATGTCAATGGCTTACGAAAGGTGACGCAAAGATTTCCTCTACTCAGGACGGCCGATGGACTAATAAGGACGGTTATGGAAGCAACAAAGGCGCTGCGGATGCACCATGCCCCACGTTTCAGGGGGTCTTACCACCAAGCGATCTTCCAGGTTTTGTCGTCCCGCCGCAAGGAGTAACCCACATCTCTGTTACCGTGACGGTTGTATTGCAGAAACTGACGTCTCAACGCAAAAACAACTCCCCGGGTGTTGATACCATTCATCCAGAAGCACTGGGAGCAGCAGCAAGCCAACTGGCAGGACTTTTAGCTCAGTCTTTCCAGCGCTGCTTAAAGCAGAACCAGGTTCCTGCTATGTGAAAGCTTGGAATAATAACCCCAACTCACAAAATTGTAAGCAGAACTGAGCGCTACAAAAACCGCCCAGTACCCCCTCTCCCTATACTCTCTAAGGTCATGGAATCAATCGTTGCCAATACACTACTGTGTTATCTGGAAACTTGCAACTTCATCACGCCCGAGCAGCATGGCTTCCGTCGACAGTGACCATGCACAAGCAATTTGCTAATCGCACGTAGTAGCTGGATCGAGTCAGTTGATACTAAAGCAGAAGTTGATGTGAGCTATCTGGATTTCTTGAAGGCTTTTGATCGTCTAGACCAGCCATTCTCAACGGAAGCCATATGGCCACCTGGGGGCACAGAGAATCCTGGATGGGCTATGGGATGTGAAAATATTTTATGTAGACGATACTCTGAAAATGGGTTGTGA